CTTGTCGGTATCGAGAAATAGATCCCCGCGGCTTACACCTATCCAGTATAAGCCTAAATTGACGGACAAGCCGGGGGGACCGATCGGAACCTGGGGGGATGAACATACACAAATGAGCACGGAAACCGCGGTGAAGCTGCAGACAGCATTTAGCAACCGCGCTTAGCGCAAGATGTGTGCCTGGCGAACAAACCCCCCTGCCGGTGATGCTGGTGACTTGCAAATTACTCACGAGCGACATAGAACCACCGGCGACCGACCAACGTCCGTGGCGGCCCCTTCAGGGGATGCGCATCGGTACCCAAGAGTGTGTCAGGTGGGTGAGAAGAAACACCCAGCAAGCGAGGTTTTTCTCTTTGGTGAAGCAACAAGATAGCAATCAGGGTATCAGTGAGCGTAGCCGCCGAGAACAGCATCATGATCAGCCAGGACCTACACGTTACCACGGAAGGGGCCGTGATTGCAAATACGGCGAGGACTATAGACTCTAGAGCCAATACTATGAGCGTTAACGATGATGACCACGCAGAGTACTCCGATATATTTACGTGGGTTTTCCTACATGTTCCAAGCTTGGTAGGCAAAAAAAGCACAGTAGAAGTTCAAGACACTACCTGACGGGGGAACGGGAGCATAAACCTGCGAGATTTCGTGATATAATCTCCTCCTGTAAGGTTCGCTATCCCATAAACGAGGATAAAGAAATGTTGCCGTATACTCTACCAGACAGAACAGCGCCTACGTCGGAAATTCCCAAAAAAAGGTTGCAGCGCACTTTGCGTTGTAACTTATTTACGCAACGTGATCTAATCAGATAATGCATATAAAAAGCCAACACTTCTTTTGAATTCTGTGAGTCGCGACGAGAGCGGGACGGCCTCATACGATCGCATACGCCCCTTATCCGTTTCTTAGGAACGCTAGTGGAGGCGCTGATCGGCGTCTTCTTTTCCAAGGTAGCCGGACAGTGATCTCCAAAACACCGAACGAGAATGTGATGGTTGTACTTCCATTAAATGGTATGCTGAACATATTAAACGAGTTCTGTTGCATGACCGCCGATCATAAGATGGAGAGGTTTCATCGGCGAGAGAATGGTGGAGATAACCCACCCGTTTTCGCTTAATCATTATACCTACAAGTTAAGCCCCAATATAAACAAGCCAGAGTCCGGTTTGAGGTAGTGGCTGGCGTCACCCAGTTCCTATGGGGTTTAGGCTTCGAGAACTCATTCCTATGCTCTCACGACTTACGGGGAGGGGTAGAACATGTGTGGTAGGCTCCCACAATTAATCCATTGAAGAGCCTTGTAGTGTAAAAGAAGTATCCACCCGGGCATCTTGAATATCATATGAAATGTGAACTTCCCAAATGGACTGGTTGCACGTCGCGATGCTACTTGTCCGAAAGATGTTCCGTCTGTAGGAAATAGTAAACCACAAAGGATATTGACTGCCCGTTGTAATTTTGTCATCCCATCCCTAACCTCAAGTAGACTATCCTGGATTACTTGGAAATGATTACGATGTGCATAGTCGGAACGCAAGAGCACGGCATTCGCCGACGGAGTCGATAAGGTCTTGATCCGTGGCCTTAGATCCGATGAAGCGGCTCGCCGCCATTCTCCGCTATCCACATCCGCGTTCGGGGAGGTTGATATCTAACCCCCGGTTACAGAACCCCACAAAAGTACACTCACGGAGCATCTGGGGCCATAATATTTCCTCGCTATCCCAACCCCCAAACCACTGAAATCATTCCTGTTGCCAATCCCTCACACGGTCCATGCGCCGCTTGAATCCTTATGATCATTGGATATTGAGGCATCGGCTTTTATTGGATACCGTACCAAGGCAGTAATTCCATACACTTCGGGACGGGGCCGAGGGTGTGCAGTTACAGGGAACAGAACAGCGATGAATTCCACCTACAACGTATGTTAAAGAGTCCATACAACAAATAATAGTTTATGAGTTACAACAAGGGAAACGACAGACAAGGCGATAGCCGTGTAGGAATACAGTTCGAATCTGAAGCCATTGGGACAGTGTGGGGTATAACGCGTAGCGTTTTAAGATGCTACTAGTGCGGTACGAGCTTTTTTTCAATAGAGGAGCGATCGCTGTGAGATAGAGCCGGAGATCGCTGTTCCCATGCGCGAGGACTTTCCTGGAACACGAGGCCATGTTAAATTGTTGTCAGTGAACTAAAGATGGACAACGTGCCAGAAGTTCAATGTCTCTCTCGGTTATGACGTCTACGGTGATGGACATCGAGGGCTGTTGTAAAAGATGATGAGATGACGCGGTCCTTTAAGTTCCGTTGCGACACCAACCTTTCTGCGAGTTAGTCGGTCAAGGTCGGAGCTGTTGTTGTCGGCTACGACTCCTGAGGTTCCCATGGTTTTACGCAGTTCTTGTCGTTCATTGAGACTGACGAGCCCAGATTAGAGCTTGAAAATATCAAGTCACAGCCAACTTACGCTGACAGGAAAGAGTTCGAGTACACTAGCATTCAGGGTGAGCCTAAAATTCCAAGGAAAAAGGGTTAACGCACGTTTCGCCAGACAGCAATATACGCCAGCCCAAATATCTAGTCCACCCTCTTAGAACAAGCTCGGAACTGCAGGAAATACGAAGCTTACAAGTATGCGGCGCAATTTGGAACTGGGGCAATATTTAGTAAATTCTCCACCAGGTTCGCTATTCAAGACTTACACAGATCAAGACAGCAACAGCTGTAATACTGGTCAACAACCCGGTACGTATTGTCAATCCCAACAATCGGTCCACCACTCGGGTCGTACTAATTCATGCATCAGCAAGTATTCATATGGCCGAGGTGAAGAATTACTGTTGCAGAGCACCCTTTCGCTTCTTCGCAAAGAAGTACAGCATCGCTACAGCGATAAGAATATCAAAAGCCGCTCCAACTGAAAGTAACATCCTAATAAGCCACGAAGTCTTGGCCGTATATTCTGGCAAGGAAGTTGCGGTGATGGCTTGATGCGCGAGATAAGTGCTGAATCCACAGCGAGCAACGGAAACAATAATAAAAAGGAGACCAAGGTATCTGAAGGGATTTGGCAAAAGACGCCATAAGCGGTGGGAGAAGAAACTCTGCAATGGATTAGAGTTCTGTGTCAGTAAATGAGCAACCAAACCAGCGCATTTACTGACCTGGACTACCATCGTGATGACGCCGCCCAGAAGCGTGGCAGACCCTAGTCCCGTAAAATTATTATATTCGAGGGGGTGGCCGGCAAATAGAATCGTAGTTCGATAGACTTCGACGCAAATGCCGATCGTATGTCCCACCTCAAGAAGCCTATATAAGGGCGGTTAGAACTCGAGACAATCTCCATGATAGAATTCACCCCTCACCATACCATAAGCACGGTCCCCTTCAGCCACCGATTATCCTCTGGAAACTCCCGGAAGTAAAACTCCGCCTGTAGGGTGATAATGCCGAACAGGAAAACCGCTACGAGGGTTCCAACCTCCAGAGCACCGAATGTGTTGGCTAAAGTGATTGCAATCATTTTGTATGCAAGATATGGACCAATGGACTAGCGTGCACTGGCTCAGCTCCCTCTAAAGGATGGTTGTCTAACGATGGTGTTGCCGTCCCCAAGATTGAAGAGACGGAGAAACGAGTGGAAGGGGGAGAGGAAAGGAGAAGGACGCAAAGGAATGGACCAAAAGGAAACCGGGCACAAACTCTCGTCGGTCAACTTTATGTGGGGTTTGATTAGCCGCGATCCCGAAATATTTGAAGATAACTTACCTCCGTTCTTAGATCTGCATCTGTACCTTCCCATCCTCAAGGTACAAAAACGAGGAAACTCGATCGCTGATGCTTGATTTCACCACGAGATCCGACAAGCCGGCGCCGATTATCCAGGATGGAAGGTTGGGAGGACTGAGAATAGCATGCGTTTTCCATATATGATCGCCATCATAACAAATTTTCCATCCGCACTTGCGCTTTTTAAAATAGCATCAAGGGGAGTGCGAGTGGGTCAGATTTCCTCGTGCCAGTTTTGAAAACCTGTGCAAGAAAGGTGGTGGTTGGCGGGTGCCTCAGTTGAAAGGAGCCGATTTACTCACCGACTCGGCGACATGTCACTGATGTCCGCACAAGTTCCTTGCGCGCGTGTCATCCTGTGATATCGTTCTTGTGCAACCATGTGCACAAATATAACATCGCCGATGGCAGACGTGGGTGCTCGTAAACCCAATCACAGAAAAGGTAAGTCAACGTGGTAAGTGGGAAAGGTTGACCATTACAAAGTTATGCATTGTGTCTTCTGTCACTTGTTGTGAAGTGTTTGTAGTCTTCTATACATATATACCGCCGTCGACTACCGTTCGCATGCTTCCATACTATGCCATTTTCTCTGAGAAGGCATATACGCATAGTTGGGAATGAGAAAGGGTGGCGCACGGGCGCTAAATGCGAATTTTGACAGACAGAGAGACAAAAGTGACAAGATCTATCCTTCTTTAAGCGCCTTATCACCCTTGAAATTTCAAATCAGATGCGATCATTACCCCAGTCGATAGAATTCAAGACAAATCCAACGGTGTCCAACGATGTCCAACACCGTGGCTGCCCCGACCAGGGCAAGGCACATGTGCCAAGAGGCTCAGGGACCGACCCAATGACAGGTATTTATTCAAAGAAGAGGCAGACGTTGGTGGAGGATGGTTTTGACATCTAGTGAGAGGCGGACCGACAAGTGAAGCTAATTATGACCATTAATCGGGAGGAAGAATCCCCCGCATGTGGGAAATTCTCCATGAGAAGCAGTTAATGGGACTTACAAATACTGCTCCAAATCATGACGCCGAGGACTTAGATGCACCTAATGTTATCAGAGCACAGGACAACTCGGCCTTGACTGAGTGTCCAGATGGGTACTCACTTGGACAACGTGCGAGACATTAGCCGTTGAGGTTGCCGAAATATTTAGGCAAAAAGTTCAACAAGTAATTCGTTGGACACACCCGGAATTGAACCGGGGACCGCCCGCAAACATATTTTCAAAGGGCAAGTCATGCTAAGCGGGCGTGATAACCAACTACACCATGTGCCCGTAAACATAGTTCGGTCCTATAGGCTCAGCGCTCCTCCTCCGATCTGTCAAATAAGGAACTACAACGGCGGTAAGGCCATGAAACATCAAACCGAGGCTCCAGGACCGCCGAACAATCCGTCTGACCTTGCAAGTTACCTCTGTGTAGCCTGAAGAGATGAGTTTCTGTGCACAAGACAGGAATTTACTGCAACCCAAGTTTAAGGACATTAAGGATGACCCTGGTCGAACGTTGTGAACTTGAAGGTTGCTCAGGCCGTCGGGGCATCAGAGGTCGCCATGATGAATGACGAATCCACCTGACTTCAGCTTGAGCGTTTAAGAGGAGAAGTTGTACTACCAGTGTACTGCGGTGACGGGGATGAAACAATCGACCAAGGTAGATCGGTGTCGAGTATCAATCAACTCGGGTATCCATCCCATAAGCCTAAGGATCGGAACGTACAACAAAAAAAGCTGCTGAGGGGAGACTGCGGCGAACCCACAAACCTGATGCGACGTTTTATCTGCTTCTGATACCCAGACCATTCCATAACCGTCAAATCGACTTCTTACTCGCCTGATGCTTTCTCTGTTTCTGGGGAAACCAATCATCCTTCTCGCTTCTGGTCTCAATATTATTTATATCAACGCCACCCTAAATATATCGTCATCTCAGCGCTCAGCCGCGGCGGTCGTTCCTGTTTCCCGTCCCTTAATTTTCCCTCGAAACCTCGGGCATTCCGTCGTTGCCAGTGCATTGTCAGTGTGACCATTCACAAGTATACCCATCGGGTCCTTGAGAATGTGGCGCGAGGGTTTTTTTTTTTACGCGCGTTAGGATCGTGTGATTGGATCCCAATTTGTGGACTAACCCTCGAACTTGTTGCATCACAGTAGTACTATGAAAATTTACCTCAGTACCTGGGAGAACATACAACGACTAATTTTATAGTCACAGACTCTCAAGTACTACACTTTGATTCTCCTTTATTTTTCGGGCATCGTCGGGATCGCTTCAAGTTACTAGTAGCATGCACACCAATGGTCGAACTGTGATCAATTGAATCCCATTGGATGCATGTTGAATATTGAATGGGTGCAGGTGAGTATCTGGCGTTTATCAAGTATATCTCGAACATTCCGACATCATCGCAATCGACAGCGCTTATCGTACATACGGTAACCATGAAGAGGCCCCTATTCCGCCATCAATGGAAGTGCAACCGGGCCGCGAGGTCTAAACGTTGAGTGCCCACCCCAACTACCTCGGCTCTTCCTTCCAATCCCCCTACCTGTAGCCTTATCTATATTATCCCCATCATGATACCTGCTCGGCCGCAACCGCAATTTGTTCCCCTTGTATATGCCTAGATGAGTATATGCACCCGTCTTGAACCCGATCTTCCAAAATACGCCTGCCCCCAATCTCAACACCCTCCTCAACTCATCAACTTCGCGTTTGTTTGTGTAATCGTCGACATAGACGCATATGACGTGTCTCTCTTGTGGGTCCGGCGTTCCTCCATTACAGGCAGCAGCTTTAGTATCGTTGGGGCACAAATCGTCAAAGTGAGGTTGGGACTCGGATTCGGATTCGAGAACAAGGACCTTGCGCGTAGAGACTTTAGCTTGGCCATATCCCCTTTCAGACACAATGCGCACGACTTTCTTCCAGAGCTGGTCCACGTTCTCCGGCTCTGTATGAATCATCCACTTTCCGTCCAACACGCCATACTTGACCGCTAGTGCATCGATCATTTCCGGCGTCACCTTCCGTTCTTCTTCTCCTGTCCCCTCCACATCTTCCCCGCCGGCTGTGATAGCTTTAAATTCCGCTTTGAGACCCTCGACGTCCCCCTTGAACTTTGCCTTGAATTCGTCCTCCGGTAACGCCATTGACATGGGTGACAATCCCCGATGAACGGAAATCCACGCGCAGTCGCGGTCGCTTGTCCGACTTGGTGGCCAGCGCATATGAAATGATTCGACACATGTATTCGACGCACCGTGCTCCCAATGGTAGCGTACCCAGAGGCCATCAGAGTCTGTATAGAGCTCATACGACTCTGCTTCGGCCTCGGTTGTAGATGGGGGTGGGACCCAGGATACAACCACAGACATTGGAGTCGGTTGGGGTGTGTCTACGTCCATTGGGTATTCAATGTCCATGGTGGCGTGGTGGAACGAGTACTTATGCGCTATGCAAGTAGGTTAGGACTTGCTAGATGATTCTTGGAAAAGAAGCCGCTCGCTGACGTTGATAAGATGTATCTATTAATAGAACCATTGGAAGCAACTCTTGCAAGGCCTGGTAGATTCGGGAGACAGATCTATTTCGGTCAATAATGCGCATAGTATGTGCTCGATGACTGTAATAACGCCTAGCCGCCCAATGTCAACTCATCTGACTATCACTTGACTGAATTCCTATCCAGACGGAGAACAATTGTGCTTGCAATATCGCTTCCTGGCCAGAGGCTTCAAGCAAGGCGAATAGAAGCGGTCCCTCCGTACCTGGACACCCATTCCTTCTCTTCTTCTATACACCGTTCCTCCAAGGACTACCAGCGCCGGTACTGTGATCTATGTCATGAGACCTGCTTGGGCGCAACCCTCACTCGTTCCCCTTGTATATAGCCAAACACATAGAAACACGGCATATCATAACCATTGGGGGCAACCAATTCCAAACAGTGGCACTACAAGTTACAACTACACCTCACGCTGCGGCTGGACATCCCAGGACAACCCCCGAAGCGGTGATAGAAGCAAGCCCCATCTAAACCGCTGGCTCATGGCCGGATAGACGGGACCACTCTGTCTGGTCGCATTGATATCAAGTCTAGGCATAAAAACTCAAGTATATCCACCAGGCCCCTGAGAACGTGGCGCAAAGGTTTTCTATGTGCGCTAGGATCGTGTGACCAAATCCCAATTTGTGGGCTAGCCCTTGGGCTTGTTGTAGTACCGTAGTACCACACAGACTTGCCTCGGTACCTGGGAGAACATATGACGACTATTTCTACATCACCACATTTGATAGCGCTTATTATATGCATGACAGGAGCCAATGGGCAGCGGATCTGGAGTCTCTGCATTCAGAGACTGAGGAAGGCAGAGACATAGTGTCAGTTATGCGGGAGACAAAGGCGCATGGGATTACGAGGCGCATCCACCATCGAGTGATTGAAGGGTCTGGGCCAGGAAGCGATGGAGTGGATAATTTGGGTCCTGAACGGGAGGAGGTGAGGGATCGAGGGATCGAATGCGTGTTAATGGCAGATTGTGTAGAAGGGATAGTTTGGCCATGGCACTATCTGGCGTAGCTACTCTTGCGGTAGAAAATGTAGTGGGAACCTTGAGGTGAAGAGGAGCATGGGCTTGATTGAGGAGGTGGGTGTGACGTCCAGTGGCGGCTGTGGGTGTGGTTGGCAACAGCTTTGGAGACAAAGACCAGTGTATCATCAGGCGAGGGCTATGGAACGCGCATAGTGGGGGTAGGCCAGGTAAGGAAAGCCACAACAGGGATAGGACAAGCGCATGACAAGTCAAGGGTTCAGAATCGAAGTAAGTACAAGCATGATACTCGGACTGAGTCGCCACCCTCCGTCCAGGCGTCGCAGGTCCTGTACGCCATGAGCTCACCATACATGACCCGGAAGGAAGACCTTAGTACTAAATTGTATGAGCGATGCCCCACTGCTCCTGACTCTGCCTCCACACTAACTCTCGAGAGACGAGAGACTATATGTCCGAATTTTGTGTATATTCATGTCATGATCATGATAAACACAAACATCATTGTCGTTTAATCGTAGAGTTGAGCCTACATATGCCACGCCCTTTGTTGCTCTCCTGATGTATTTAATGTAAGACGATAAATCTATCTCGTTATTTGAATAGTTTCGTGCTAAGGAATACATTGCGGATGAGGATTCTGGATGTCATCACCGTGAACGCATCCCTCCTATCGAGATTGTTTATGTGGGAAACAACGATTCCGTTGGCCACAAATCAAATTTCTCCTCCCGATAAATCCTTTCCCCCTCAACTAGATTGGATGTTCTGAAATCTCGATAGTATTCCTCCTTCAAATTGATTTCCCAATACCAGAAAACTGATTTAGGACCATGTCCCACGCAGAATAGTTCAGAGATAAGTTTGCCTCGAGACTTCTTGGTGATGAGAGACTTTAACTGGGAACCCAAATTGGGATGATAGGGCTGTATCATCCCGCATTCCTTCCATCGCTTGATTGCCTATGGAGGATATGATCAGGAAATGTCATAGATGGTTGGGGAAATTCATCTTACCGCTTTGAATCTGGTCACATCAAAATTCTCTCGAAATTCATCTCGAGGGATACGGAAGAGCTGAGTCTCACTAATGTATTTGCGATGGCCATCGCAACCCCAGGATAAACAGCCCAAAAAGCCGCTGTGTCCTGCAAATAGCATCGCCCGGTTCAGTTGGGCCTTGCGAAAATCGGCACGACTGAAACGCTGCAGCAACTGATGCTCTATCTCGGGAAGCTCACCCAACTGGATACAGGCGTCAAAAGCCCGATCATAAATGCGTGCTTTGAGTATGGAATTGACAAGTTCATTTGTATAGGGCCAGGAAAGGGAGAATGCTGAATCGGCCACACCATGCGCTAACATAAGGTCTTGATTCATAGCATTGAGAATATAGACAAGGAGTCGGAATGAAGCCTAAGCTCACCTGATCCATTGAAACGATAGCTTTCTTCATATTTGAGCGTAACATCAAGGTAATGCTTGAAGTCGACATTACACACAGATGGAGACCAGAGGTAAAAGGGGCCGGAGCGCGTCGGATCCACAAGGAAATCATAAAATGACTTGTGGTAGAAATGGATTGCACCTCCGAGTCTGCTATTCACATGGGCCCTCAACTCCTCGACAAAAACTGGGGTGGCATGCCAGAACGGATGATCAGTGTCGCCAAACTGGGAGAAGTCGAAAGAGTCGCTATGGTCGTGGACGTGGAGCACAGCACTGAGTTGGTTGCAAATCGCCCAGAAGTCAATTGCAGATAGTCCTAGCATATTGCTCAGTCGCATTGCACCACTAGTATATCCGGAACCGAGATATGATGCAGCGCCACACAATAGTCTACACAAGAAAAGAATAGTGGGAAGGTCTTCAGGGGGGATACGCTGCATGATGAGCATATAAAAGGCGTCGAGTCCCGCAAAGAGTGAACTGTCGGTGGGATCCAAGGTTGCAGTGCAGATGGCGCGCAGCGCTTCCGAGGGAGATCCAGCCTGATCTACATCCCGAAGCACCATCGCTGCATAGATGAACAGTCCCTTTGATCTCTTCACCAGTGTTTGTATATCACTGTCAGATGGCCATTGGGATGCCATGGGGATGTTACGACGCCGAAGGGTATTCTTGAAGCCACTGCGGAGGTAGAGCTCGATGTCGGAATCGGCGTCATTGGAGACCGGTAACAGGACCATGCAAGTGGCTTGGGCGACGTCATCAGAGGTGAAAGAGGCTTCAATGTGGGGCTCTGGACGGCTGAAGAACGCCCAGCAGAATGGAGTGACACCATCACGAGCAGCAGCGGCAATGATCTCAATGATCCTGGACTGATCGTCGGCCTTCTTGCATTCGTCGAGACCGTCAATGATTATAACCATCCTCCGCCCAATGCCCTTCCCAGCCTTCTCCAGTTCCTGGAATGGCTCGGCAATGAGTGCTTTGAATTGCGTCACCATCGTTTTCTTGAGGATGGTCCTGTTGTGACGGATCCTCTGGTCGAGGAGGTCTCGGTAGTCAGGGAATTCGGTGGCGAGCTGGTAGGCGATGGTGGGGAAGAATTGTTCTGTGTCCTCTCGTATGTTAACCGCAAAGAAGAATGTGGCACCGAGTCTGCCCAATTTCTTGATCTCTTCAGCGCACGTCTGAGCTATGGCAGATTTGCCGACGCCAGCTAGGCCCTTCATCCAGAAGAGGGGGAGGGGCTCATCAGCACCCATGGAAGGGACGCCCCAACGAACGGTGTCCTCGATGTATTGGTTGCGGGTGCCGGGTTGGCACCGAGGGGCGTAATCGCGGGCAGAGGAGTCGTGGATGGCGTCAGGGTTGGACGCTTCCAGTAGGATATCGATACCTAATTTCCAATGCAGACATAAGCTTTATGCAAGCTACTTTACAACATATTCCCTTACCAGTTTGTCCGTTTGTGGGTGAAATATTTGTAGTTACATTTGAAACATTTGTACTGACATTGATGGGTCCGATCTGCTGGTCCACAAAATTGCTCCCATTGATAGTAGCATGCTGGGAGTTGGCAAAAAAGGGCATAGTGTTCAAGTTGACTGCTGAAGTGTGATGACCTGGAAGGCTGAGATAGGAATGGGGACGAGGAGAAGGGGGGTGGGCGATGACTTGATAAGCAACAGGACATAACAGCATCTTGGGACGTTGGCTGTTAATCTGTGGGAAGAGCCTTATTTTTAGACAGGATTGGCGCCTACAGCTTGGATGAATATTTTGGGTTGATGTCAGAACTAATGTGTGTGTTGGAGGGACAGACGTACAAGACCGACATCCAGGCATGACCAAAGACACTCTTGCCATGTCCATTCTTGACTCCCTGTCTATGATAGACCGAGCCTGGGGGGGCTTCAAAATGACACTTGACACGCCAAGTCGAAGCAATGCGCCGCGGATCCCCGAAACACCTGACAGCGGTGGCTATCCTCTTGATTAAGGAAGTACATCTCATGCTCCACGTCTGCTCTAATGATACATTGATGCAACACCTTCCCATAATGCCCATCACCTACCCCCTCCACTGCACACATTGGACGTTGAATTACCTTCCAGCGCGACGATCCCTTCCGGTGCCCTGCATCGACCCTCTCGAATTTCTCCCGAATTTGGTTCGGTGGAGTCATACAGGCTAACTTGTAGGGTGCTAGACCAGCCTCTGTCCATGCAGGTGAATGGGTGTTTGACTGCAAGCGGTTTTGTGCTAGTTAACAGCAATGGGGACGTTGGTGTGATGAGTGTGGAGAAACGTCACCGTCCAGCTGGTATTGACTAATGGCTGCGGCATTGGCAACGCCCACAATACATTATAGCGGGGATGCCGTTTTGGTATCTTTTGTATACCACAAGTTTTATCTGGATGCTGCGAAGAACGGCTCATGTGGGATGGTACGGGAATAACAATCGAGAATAACTCAGAGGGAGAAATGACGGTGGCTGTGTCAATTGGCTGTTAGACTATTTTGGAATATCAACAAGTTGCCGCTCAGCCCTGTGTCTCTCTTCTCTTGGCTCTCACGTATGCATAGCCATCTTCGCTCGACAACTATGGGCTTTTGTGGCGACAAGAGTCCCTTTGACTTCGGCACCCATGCGTTTTCGTCCCTGATGCATTTGTCTTTGCACTCTGTGTCCTCCCAATTCCTGTTCCTATACCCATTTGCCGCCCATTTGAGTCCATCAGTCGCCGGTTCTGGTCATTCTTGATTCTACAGGGGGCTTATGCACTATCCACAGACAAAGCTTTCTGAAATGAGGGCACGCCAGCTGCGGCGGTCCATACTCTGCAGTTAGCATCCTGACATACGGTCGTGCTCGCGTTCGGAGGGACTGTGGGGGTACTTCGGGGGTTGGCACATGGATCTTACCTCCTCTACGATGACGCGCGGGGTAAGTGGGGGAGAATGGGAGTTCTGGTTTCTGCCATTGCGTGGTTATACACTGCCGTCTGTCCTGTCGCATGACCAACTGCGACCGCGCCATATGTCATCTTTGTTATCTATCTGCTGTTGCTCGGTGCCACCATTTTGGAATTGGGTGGATATGGTCATGGGGTATATGGTGGCCCACTGCCGAGCTGGTGGCTGTTGACCGCACTTGGGGTGAATCTGGTTGTGACAGTGGGGACGTTGGGCGTTGTGCTTGGAATACTGCTCGTGTTGTCCAGTGAGAGGGTCAAGAAAGAGGATATTGTGAGTTGCTGCATTGTGTTCTTTGCTTGCTGAAGTTCTTATTGATTTGAGTAGGGGTGTACCGGTACATAGGAGGGCTATGTAACATTATGAGCTTAGGTCACGTTCTGGCGGGTGTACCCCAACCACCTCGGCTCTTCCTCCCAAAACCCCCATCTGTAGCCTTATTCGTATTATCCCCGTCATGATACCTGCTTGGCCGCAATCCAAATTTGTTCCCCTTGTATATGCCCAGATGAGTGTACGCATCCGTCTTGAAACCAATCTTCCAAAATACACCTGCCCGCAGTCTCAACATCCTCCTCAGGTCATCAACTTCACGATTGTTTGTGTAATCGTCGACGTAGACGCATATGACGTGTTCAGACTGTGGGTCCGGCGTTCCTCCATTCAAGGCAGTAGCTTCAGTACCAGGTTCAGATTCAGGAACAAGGACTTTGCGCGTAGAGACCTTAGCCCGGCCGTACCCCCTATCGGACGCAATGCGCACGACCTTTTGCCAAAGTTGGTCCACACTCTCCGACCTCGTATAAACCAACCACTTTCCGACCAACACGCCATACTTGACCGCTAGTGCATCGATCATTTCTGGCGTTACCTTC